TTTCTTCGTGCTTACTTTCGCGGTGACTCTGTTAGCGGTTAAACGACCGGGCGAATACGCACGCTTAAATATTGCAAAACGGTTAGATGCATTTCATGCTTTGTCAGCCGTTCCCAAAGTTATTACCTCGTTACCTGCTAAGAATTCAACTGCGAATTACGAAAGGGTATTTGCGTGGATTTTATCATCAGCCGCGGACTGTTAATACACGAAGGGGGGGAAGTCGACGCACGAAGCGTAACTTGCGAACAATGTGTAACAGAAAGTGCATTCGCGTTACGCGAAAGCTTTATTGCCGTAATCTCGTTGAGCGTATTTGCCTGCGGTTACTGAGGCGACGCAGACGATTTATTCTCCCCGCCGGTTGACGCGAAACGTTTCCCGGCGAATCGATACATTAAGAAATCGTAGGAACGCGTTTTCGTTGATCAGCTTTATGCAGTTCAGCCGCGCACATATGTACCTACGTAGTTTAACGTATGTACGTACAGCCACGGCGGATCGCGTCGGAGACTTACATATTCCATTCTGTCGATACCCAATCTGCACGCGAGCCAGGCGATCGTCGAAAAATTCGATTTCCCGCCGGCTTTGATCGCGGACGAGTGAAATCGGGTTTAAGGACTACTTATCTCCCAGGGCCCCTATACACGAATACACAGTGGATAAAAAGGAAGACGACTCTTGCCCGAGTATTATTCCCTTTCTGTGTGTCGGCAAAGATTGCCTGAATACGTGATTCGCAATATGGAAATCCGTCTTCCCAGCGACGTTTACCTAAGTAAACGTTCGAGTGGTTTCATGTACTCGTCTACATTTATATGGAGACTTTAAATATGTTAAATATACGTGAACGCGTTGGTTCCGGAGCTTTGTCGATTCTTCGATAAAAGTAAATGTATCATAAATACTTAAACTCATTTTCATTGTCATAAATTACATGGAATATGTAAATACGCATTGCAACGTTTCACATGTGAAAATTTTATTCCCACATTTACGCAAAGAAAATAGTTGATCAAATAAATGTTGATTAATTACTGTCGATTCGATGGGAGAGTATCGAACGAGGAATCGAGTTTTCGAAAATGGCACTCTCTTGTCCCGGGGAAAGAAGTTCGTCGGTGAGAAAGAGTTCGCAGCGATACTCTCGCCTCCGCGTAATTAAACCCGATATAGGTTGACGTGGTAGTTAAAGTCGTTACCGCGTTACTTACCTGTGCCGTTGAGTCAATTCCTTACTTTCCGCTCGGTGGTCGTGGGGACACCCACGGGAGCAACGTCTGAACGTTTTACGACCAACTCGAGCGACTAATTTGATTAACCAGCTATTTTTTTTTTCCCTTCTTGCACTTTGGAATTTCCATGCGCCGAGGAGATGTGTAAATACATCTGAAACCACGAGTTACACGAATATGGAAATTGCAAGCATTCATTTCTGTTTTGTCCTTTTACGATGATACAATTTTATGGTAATTCAGTCATGAGTAGAATTGTATAGAGAGAGAGAGAGAGAGAGAGAGAGAGAGAGAGAGAGAGAGAGAGAGAGATGTAACGGTAGATCGCGATTGAAGGACTCGAAATCCAGTTAATTGAAGCACCGTGCGTTAATACGGATGATGCGAGCGCATTAAGTATTACAAGAATCATCACTTCCTTTGTGCGGAACGTCTTTGTGGCAACCGTGGAATTTATCAAACGCGAGATTATCTCACGGATCGTTATTACTCAGTTTTCTTTACACGCCATCCGGCGAGAGAGAAACGCTATGAGAAACAGGGAAAATCGGTTCCCAGCGTCGGAGACGTAAAAGATTACGTGGATCGTCCTTCGTCGCGAGTTTCACGATCCGGAATCTTGTAGGAAAGTATTTGTCCACGTTATCTCGAACTACTCTAACGAGTTTGTCAATTCGTTTTTTCGTTCGATGTCTGACACGTATCGCGTTAGAATAGCGAATTAAATCAGATTACGGCGAGGTAAAAGTGAAACGGGTTTCACGCGATCATCGATACCATTTTTAAACCGTTTCAATCAATTAGTCCGATCAATTAGCGGAGCCGTTCGGCGATTGTGACGGTTAATAATGAAGGTTCGATATACCTGGCTCGATGCAATTAATCAGTATCCTTGAAGCCGGGTATTTCTCGATTTGTCCCTCCCTCTCTCTCTCTCTCTCTCTGTCTCTCTCTCCTCTCTACAGTCGTTTCTCTGCTCTCCGGCTGTCCCATCTCGTTCCGGAGAAGCGTGGCGGACGTCAAGCACGCCACCTGTGCTCTCGCGAATAGAGGAAGTGAGAGAGCCGGAGTAGACGACCCCTTTCCCGTTTCCTTGAACCCAGGTATATCAGTCACATCGCTAATTGGAAATCGCTCGTGCGATCTACGGTGTCTCGAGGCGCGCTAGCAATTAGGTGTGCGCCTACGGATCTGCCAACTCTCTCACGGAGACCCACTCTGCATTCGAGATCACCCTTTTTTTTCTATCTCTCTCTCTCTCTCTCTTTTCCTCTCCCTACCCAGACCGAGCATATCTCGTTGTTTCTGACCGTAGCCGTCGCGTACTCTCTATTTCCACTGATTTCTCGCGCTTCGCTTTTCCATTTCACGGCTACTTGGAACTTGCCAAGAGGGGGAGAGTGGCCAGAACCGCGGGATGAACGGCTTATTCCATTCTGGTGCTGATAACTTGGCTATCTTTTATTATCTTATACCAAGAGTCAAGCTTACTTTTGTCAAGATGCGGCTCTCTCAAAATTTGCTTGAAGATGCTTGACAATTGATATTCAGTGGATTTAAACGTAACGAACGATCGCCTCGGACGGCACCGTATTTTACGACAATGGAAAGATCCGCGACGCGAGGGAGAAAAAGATATTTGTTCTCCTGTTACGCGAGTAACTACGCGTCCGGTAACTGGCCGCACACTGCGGTTTGCAGCTACCACGCGAATAAATGGTATCACGATTCACGTACTCTCCATGAACACTTAGGTGTTCATAAAACACTAGTAGTCCCGACCTCCCCCGCTCGCGTACTCTTGTTTCTCGCCGTGCGAAACGGTTACCCGCCTCTGCGCGCGGTTAACTTCATTTCAGATTGAACCTGAAATACGGCCTTCGTTAAACCCGTGAATCGTCTCCTAAGCCGGAATTTTATTTTCCGCCGAGGTTATTGCAATCTGGAGAAGATCAGTGGAACGAGTCAAACATACTTTGAAACATTTATTAAGCATTACTATTATTATTATTATTATTATTATTATTATTATTATTATTATTATTATTATTATTAGGCGATACGAAGGGAACATTAAAAAATTCCATTAAGATAATATCGAAATCTTGAATTTTTTAATAATACGTTTGCTGCAAGCTCGATGTTGCAAACGTAATCTACACAGAGTAGAGGCGTGGTTGAAAACGTGTACCGATTCTTTCCCTCTGTTTTGTAATTTGCTTTTACTTGTATCACTTTTTGACCCATTTCTCGGATTTTTGTCCCGGTCCGAAGCTTTTTCCATCGGTTTCTTGATCTCTGCATTATCCCGCAATTAGTCTTGGTTCTCATTCCTCGAACATCCGTATCCACCGGCCTTCCTTGCGTCTGTTTTATTCGTTCTGCTCCACTTTTTTCTCATCGGATTTCTTTCACCTCTTCCCGGTAATCCTTAGCTCTCTCTTCCTTTCACATCTTCCCCCTTCCACGCTCCATATACTGGCCGGTAGCTGCACTCTAATTGCTTCTTCTCTCGTACACCCTCGGTTCTACCCTCCGCCCCGAGTCAATGGAAACACAAGAACCAGATAGTTTATAATCGATATCATAAATGCACTCCGATGTTACGGATACCGCTTTGAGTTACGGGCCAATATCTCTTCCTAATTATACCTCGGCGCGAGAGATAGTATCGGTAACCGAGCTTCCATGTACGCGTAATACTAAAGCTGTTGCCGCTCCACTTTTTCCTTTCATTCAAACTCCAGCTTTTCTGCGTTTCCATCTGCGTTCGTTGTTCGATCACGTATAAAACTCGTTTTCTCCGACGTTTTCCCGACTCGATTAAACCGTACTCACTCAGTGTATGTATATGACACACAATTAAATGGATTTTTCTAAGTAGATTATGAATTTGTATGGAAAATAAAATTCCTGTGCATTTAAAACACGAGATGAAAACCGAAATTTCTTTCACGTTTGACATGCGATTTTCTACGAGTCGAATTTCTCTCGAAATAAAATCCTGACTGTTTATAAGAGACGGTGAAGAACGAGAGAAGCCATGAATCGATTGCTTAAGTTCTGCAGTTTTCTATGGATATAATAATCATTGTCGGGATTCGAAAAGTTATCGGGCATTCCAGACGGTGATAAAATATTGACTCGGACGGATAATGAAAAACGGAGAGACGGTCAGTGGTCAGCTGTGATTGCGCGAAAGTGTTTTTAGGTTCTCCTTTTCGGTAGAATCGGTAAAGTTAATTTCTCGTTATTTCGCTACCTCTGGCGACGATTAACGAGGGTTCGCAACTATTCCCCGAGCACGGGAATCGCTGCGGGCTGTTGATTAGTTCCAGAATATCCTCCGGCCATCAACAGATTAATTTTCAAATACTCGACTGTCTGGCAAAAAAAAAAAGGAGAACTGAATATCTCCCCTATTAATGATCCTTTCCACGATTCCAGCGAACTCTTCGACGATTTACCAGTGCAATTTATCCATTGTATATTAAGTTTCGAAATACAAATTCGAAGAACACAAACGTGGTTTCACAAAGATTATACGTATTAATAAGAGTGAAAGAATTTAGCCATTTAAACCGGGAACTCTCTGTATCATTTTTTGTAGTAAGTATAAACGCGTTTTATGCGAGAATACGTGGCTGGGAGTTTAATTGAAGGTTAAGGAGAAAAGAAAAACCGATTTGCGAACAGAAATACCGGTTAATATAAAAAGGGCGTAAAGGGAGGTTCAATAAAGGTATATTTTCTTGCTTCCAGGATGGTCCGCATGATCGGCGATGAATTCCTTACGGAGGAAAGGGACCGGAAATACTACGCCGATCATTATACCTGCTGCCCGCCGCCTCTCTTCATTATACTCATCACCCTCGTGGAGGTTAGTGGAAATACTTGTACATATTTTGTAATACGGCCGTGGTAACTCAAAACTCATATAATTCGAAGATACGACCTCATCTTCTGCTAATGAATATTCCACTAAGTTTCTATTCTTCTCGAGTGTCTTCGATCGTTAATAAAATTCTAATTTCGGTCATTGGACGAAGGGATCGCGTAACTGCATTTCATTAATCAACTCAGTTATTTTCTGTTTTGGATAGAAACCTAACAATATTTTACCATTTAATTGAGCGCACTATGCGCCCGAAATATGAACCTCTCTTAAGCTAGCAGAACCAAATCAGCAGAATCACATCGGACCTAGTGGAATATTTAGTACTTATTTTGTACTAATTTGTACCACAAATAAAAATTTTGTACCTCCTGCCGTTTTCAAAAAAATCGTGGCGCTGCTAGCTTAATATTAAGCTGGCAGGACCAAAAGTTAAAATTAATGAAAATGAATAAATCAAAGTTGATACTTTAGTGCTGAATTTGTACTAATTTGTACCATCAAAAGAAATTTTGTACCTCTCACCGTTGTCATGGAAATCGGAGCGATGCGAGTTTAACGTTAAGCGTTACGCTCCGATTTCCTTAACAACAGTACTAGGTACAAAATTTCTTTTGATGGTACAAATTAGTACAAATTCAGCACTAAAGTATCAACTTTGATTTATCCATTTTCATTAATTTTAACTTTTGGTCCTGCCAGCTTAATATTAAGCTAGCAGCGCCACGATTTTTTAAAAAACGGCAGGAGGTACAAAATTTTTATTTGTGATACAAATTAGTACAAAATAAGTACTAAGTATTCCACTTGGTCCGATGTGATTCTGCTGATTTGGTCCTGCTAGCTTAAGAGAGGTGAAATATGAGACGTTACTATATCCATATAGAAAATTGAACTGCTCTGAGTTAATCTCACGACGAGAAATATTTCCAAAAATATTTCGAATCTGTGTACGCGCCGTGATATTTATTAAAAAATCCCTTTGACGAGTGCCTCCTTCATTACCACCCATAGCCGCAATAGCGCGTAGTTACTTTTGTACCGTTTCGCAATTAATATCTCGACACTGCGCTCGGGATTCGTTTTTCAACGACGCTAAGAGAGGGTTTTCCCATTTTCTTTTTCGATTTGCCGTTTTAGCGTTATTAAATTTGCTCCTTGTGCGAATTTGTTTTCATTCGCGCACTCGGTAAGGGTGCGGGGGAGGGTTTTTCGGTGCGGACGATGGAGGGGTTTGTACGTAGCGCGTTGTTATAAAGCAGGGCCGTTAATTTTGGTTTACATTACGCCGCCGCAAGAACCGGCGGGCTTTATGGAGGGTAAGTGTAAAACGCCGTAAAAGTTGGTATAAAATTAGAATAACACGCGTTACACCGAACCGTGTGCCTTCTGACTTCATTTTAAATTGTTCCATGATACATACGTACGTACAATATAATGCTCGGCGGTCGTTATTTTCGCCCGGCCACGATAACTGCATTATTTACACTGCGCGATATTAAACAGCCAACCCGTAAATGATGCAGGCTCCTTCTTTATTTCAAACCCGGGTTACGGCTCAACGAATTAAATTCCATTTAAGCGCCATTGCTTTGATAAACGCATTTACGTTCTCCTATACTGGAAACAGGTATACTCGGAGCATTGACCTCGCCCGCGATCAATTCAATTCGTGAAAATTATCCACAATCCCTGGATACGTTTGATAAGATTAGGCTTAGCTGACGATCGAAAGGAATCCGAAAAGACACAGTTGCTCCCGCAGTATTGGAGAATAAAAGTTAACCATCGCTCGGGATCGGTTTTATTATTTTTCTTCGCCCCGAAAAAAAAGAAAAGAAAAAACTGTTAGCTGGTATAATTACTCTCTGCGATCTGAGGATCCCGTTCGCAGGATAACGCGAGACCGTAATCACGCTTCTTTGACGTCAAATTCGGCTGGCTCGGTTCATCCATTTTTAACGGCAGAAGAATTTCCTTGCATCGCGTGTGTATCGAAATTCGTGAAAACGAATAACAAATTTCTTTGCCTATTTCTTTGATCACGTTCGGTCCATCCCGAGCGAACGGCGCGCGCCGTGGCGATCGTCCGGATGAATTTTTAACAACACCGTTTTCCAAACGTTTTCATCGAGAGGCACGGATGTATACACGATAATACGATCTATTAATGGAGCTCGGATCGTTTTATTTGCTCTGCCCGATTCGGCAGAAGTTAACAATGCAGTCCTCTCGATCGGGCCGAGGCGTGTAATTTTTTTCCACTTAGGGAGTTCGGGGCGGAAAATTACAAACTTAATGACCCGCCATTAACGCTGATGCGATCAATGCGTAAGTCGCGAGCCTCGTGATTTACAAGTTGCCGAGTTATGGGATCGGCGAGGCGGCGGCGGCGGCGGCGCGCCGGCCGATTCGTGACGGTTCCGTTCCTAATGACTCGAATATGTACGCGATCGCGGATAACGTTGCGTGTATGCCTTAACCAACGCATTAACCAACGGAAATGCATAGAAAATTACATTTTCGTTTACAACCGGCCGGTGCATAATGCACTCGCGCGCTTGTTAAAACGTATCCAGGGAGAGGAAAGTATGCGGGGAGGAGACAGAGCGCCGATTAGATCGGTATCTGTAACGTCGTTCAGACTCTATTCCATAGCGAACTTATAAAAAGTTCACGCTGCTTTACCAGCTCGTTAAATTCTTTTACGCCTGCGCATATTTATCGTCCAAGCCGAGGAAGCTGATTTCGCGTGTAAATCTAGATGAACAAGGTCCGACCGGAAACGGGCGTCAATCTTTCATTGTGGTAAATTTTTCTTTTTTTTTTTTTTTTTTCTATTCCAATAATGCGTAGAACGAATTTCACGTTCGCGATCGAATTTGCTTTGTACGAATCTTCCAATCGTTTCCCAGAGAGCAGAGGCTATTATCTTCCGCTTTTAAATTGATTCGATTCCCTGTTGAAAACTCGATCGGCATCCCTAATCCTCGTTATTAAAATGACGGTTTAACAGCTTCCGCCGTCGGTGGCCAACGCGCCGCTCGATTATGCCGATGTCCTCGCATTAAACAGTTTTCAAGCTATTTAAACTCGCGCTTGAAACGTATTTGCGAACGCGGGCCGCCAGGATCGATCGAACGGAATTAAAACTTTTTCATTCTGAACGCAGCCCGCCTCGAGAAACGGAACGCCGATAATTACCATTAACTTTGTATAATTTGTTTATCCGGAGAATTAATTAAAATCAATACTTACTTCGTCGGGGTAAGAATCGGTCCGTTATTTATGCTACTGATAATTTATTATACATAACGATATCTCTTTCCTTTTCGCAAACAAAAGTTTTCGACGCCTCCGTAAACGTTGCCTAAGTTTGTTTCGAGTTCTCTTCGTTTTATTTATCTCTCTCGCTTACAAATCTGGCAAGACTTTTCACAGTCAGTCTCAGTTTCTAAAACTGAGCTAACTTCGTTCCACAGAAATTAGGTCGAGCTACGCGATTTACCGCTTCGAAATGCTACGAGCATTTTTGGAAAAATTCTAAGGGGATTTAATTAAAAGTGAAAGACTCCTCAATGGTCTTAACGTCGTTCCTATCGTATCACGAAGATTAAAATAGCGCTGGTTCTTTATTAGTAAAATGACAGAAGAATATCTCTGGTATCTGAAAACTTTGATATGATAAACTGTGGGGTAACATTCTTTCATGGAGAGTTCTCGTTCCCGAATAAATCGATATCGGATGTTCATCAGGTGCACGTGCACTTGACTCAGCCACCGAGTGACGGTGCCCCGAGACGAAGCATCGACGATGCCTCGGCGAGGTATCAGACTTTTTAGATAACCAATATACCCGCTCGATCGGTCGTAATGGCGAAATACCTTAGCCACCGCGATCCCCTCAGACTTGACACCGATGCATTTTGCTTATGGAACGGTAAAACCTCTCGCGGAGGACAATGTCAGCCGGCTTAAAGGAACACTCACCCTTCGTACACTTCAAGTATCGACGGAATCTTCATCTGAATTGATAACGTGAGTCGATAAGACGAGAGTATTAAAAAATTAAGGATGTATTGGTTATATAGTCAATCCCAAAAGTTTATGTACCTTAGAAANTTTTTGTTATTTATTATTAGCAATGTTCTTCCGACGTCTGATTTCTTTTTAAAAAATGCATTTCTAAAGTGCATAAACTTTTAGGATTGACTGTATAGCCAATACATCCTTAAATTGTGTCTTGCAACGAAGAGTATTTACCGCCTTCGAATTTTAAAGACGAGTACCGATAGAAATATTTCACATACAAATGGCACGACAGAATTTCATTTCCAGATAAAACATGAATTAAAAAGTGTATCTTACCGAATCATATTCGACTCTAAGAGTGCAACAGTCTCGGTCAGAACTACGGGAATAATTCTGGGATCTTGTTGGAATAAAATTATCCCGACCCTTGTAACACGGAGAGAGAGTTCGCAATTCGTGAACTGTTACATCGCGTTCTGACGGTTTAACGGAATCCCGTACACGAAAAGTTTCGGGCACCGTTGTTTTTGGCGTTTCCGTGGAAATATCCGATTCCCGGCGAGAGAGCGTATGTACGCTGGCTACGTATAGGGCGTTTCAAAATTCAATTCGCCAGGACTCGAAGCCGGTGTCTCCTGCCTTCGGGAATTAAATTTCCATCTGGCTCGATCGCTGCAAGGGTTTTGATAGAACATTTTCCCGCGTCCCGTCCCCATCTACGAATGTAACGCAGGTACACGTACACGTCTCCGTGCATGTATACACATACTCACTGCATTTATACGTGTAGTACGTGCATTCAATCGTTGCAAGTACACGCTGTTACTTCGGTAGTCGAACGTTCATAGCCAATGACTGAGCTTTCAGATATATTATTCAGTTGTACGCGCGTGTGTGCGTGCAGTCTCCAGGTACCGTAACTTCCTTTAATTTCCTCTAACCGTTCAGCAACT